TTTTGTTGGGGGGGTGGGGGGTGGGGCGGTTGGGAGCATGCCTAATGGTTCATTTACTTGTGTGTGCTCAAGCCTGAACCAGATCAGCAGGATAATCCTCTGATGAGAGAAAACGAAAATGTACAAGTTGTAGGTGACTAGGAGAGTGGCCTCATCTGGACTTATCTCAGTACGTATCCTTCTGGAATGTTCCCCCTGAGAGCACTTCAGAACAAATGTACGTGCCACCCAAGCAACACAGCGAACACAGGTGGAGGAAGCGACTGTGATGCCGGGTGAGGGCTGGAGAAAGGCCAGCTCTCCCAGGCAGTCCACCCCCACTGTGTTCTGCCTGAACTATAAAAATCTAACCATTGGGAGCCAGGGCTCATCCAGAGGAGAATTAGGAACGCAGGTTGGGCAGAAAGCTCAGCTAGTGATGAATGAGTGTAGCGTGTTTCCGTGGTTGGGAGATGGGTAGGAAACAGTGAATGGGTAACAGCTATTCTGAATTCCTCCTAAAGACCCCGACTCCCAGGCCCTCATTTCCAGGATGGTCAAATGGATCTAGACCAGGGCTGTTCACCTGAGGAATCTTGGGTAAAGGTAGAGTGTGGAGTGGGCCTGAGATTCTGCATTTCTGTATGCTCCCAGGGGATGTGGACCATCGTTTGAGTAGCAAGGGGTCTAAGAGTGCAGTAGACTACTGGGAATTTCTAGATTTGTACTGTCCACTATGGTTACTGGGCACGTGAAGTGTGGCTAGTGCACTGAAGAAAATTAATTTGTTAAATTAAAGTTTAATAAATAGTGACATGTGCCTATCATATAAGCACCAACCCAGACATTCCCAGGTCTTCTCAGCCAGAGCAATCTATGTTTTTAGTGCACTCGATCAATATGTAAAATTGAAGCAAAGGATTCCTGTTAATAAGCCACTGAGGAAGAGCTTGTGACAGAACTGTAAATAGTTGCTATTTTAGGAGTCAAGACTATGATATGCTTCAGGCGGTATTTTAGGAATTAGTAACCATGTAAAACAATTCAATGTGCTTGAATCCATCATTTCATTTAAATAAGCAAGTGTCCTTTTCTCTAAGATGCACTGCCAAATTCATTCCTTACACTGTTTCCCCACATCCTACGGTGTGGGCTGGCATTGGGAGGGAACAACGGGGTGCTTTGTGACAGGACAGCTGACGGGGATGAGACAGGGAGCAGCCACCACGGTATCAGGCCTGGAAGGAATCAGACCGCGGGGCGAAACGCAGACAAGTGGAGAGAAGCCGAAGGGAAACACTGAGGACTCTGACATTTTCCTCAGGGCTGACCTTACGCCTCTCCTTCTTGAGAAGTCTTTTTCCTTTGGAGAATGAACCATGAAACCATGACACGGAGTGGGCCCTAGCTGGAGTCCCCACCCCCTCGACCCCGTCCAAATCATCGCGGTGTGGGAGGTCCCAGCGGGCAGCAGAGGGGGCTGATGGGCTGGCAATCAGGTGCAGGCCTGTCTGCTCAGGTGAGCTGGTGCCTATATCAAAGAGGAGGGCTCTGGAGCACACCCCCATGCCAACCGTGATCAGATGCCATGGCCCAGGCCCTATGTTGTCTCTAATCCCTATCCACTGAGAGACAGGGTACCTGTACCCCATCGTCAGGGTCAGCATTCTCAATAGGTCTGGTGGCGGAATTTCCAAACACCAGCCATCGAGAAGCCAGGGAGCACATCCACTCAAGGGCAGAGGCTTCTGTTTGTCTGGTTTCTGAATCTCGTCTAAGAAGCTGGTTCCTGGGTGAGGGCCCTTTGGAGGTTCTGAGGGCACCCTCCGGGCTGTGCGCAGGCAGGGAAGTGGTTCGGCTCTTACACAGCCAGCCATGAACTGAGTTTGTGGAGGACACATCTGCTCTTAGTACATACAGACAGCAAATGCACGATCGCCCTCATCCAAATGCCACGGGCAAGGAAAATGCTAGCTACTGAAGGAGGCTCGTCACCAGGTTTTGGTTTTGTGACTTAACAGGATATATAAAAGATGGGATTGAACGGTGAGAAAGATCAACACGAAGCCAAAAAAATTTCAGTGACTCACATTTTGCGCTTAGATCCCGAGCACATCACAGCTTGGCAATCTTTCCTATGGGCAAATGAGTATTTTCTGTTTCTGAG